CTGAAGAAATTGCTGGTGGGAATGCTTTATGCTGAAAAGCTGACGCTAAACTGATATGCTTTAAAGTATTGTGTAAGAAGAAAGTGAAGAATTTAGATTTAAATGATACATGAACACTGGGGGCTTGAATGTGTGATGAGAGAATAAAATAAAGTAAAAAGGCTTGGAAAAGCAGCAGAATATTTGAACTGCAAACCTTTGAACTAACTTGATGGTGAATGATCTGTCGCCATGCAAACGGCATTTGATGATATCCCATAATACGCTTAGATGCATTGATGGCTGCATCGTTACAAAAACTGTGAAGTTTTGGGCCATTTGGAGCGTTTTCACTGAAGTTATGAGAAAACCATGTTTCATGGCGAGCATTGTGTTGCCATGGCAACAGCATTTGAAGAAATCTCAAAACTGTCACGTAGATGTCTTCACGGCTGGACTGTTAGCACACATGTGAAGTTTGAGCACTTTTTGAACATTTTCATAGGAGTTATAGCGACATCGTCTTTTATGGCAAGGGATGCGTTTCCATGGAAACGGCATATGATGAATCCCCATAATTGACGTAGAGCTGTTGAGGGCTGGACCGTTAACCATTATCTGAAGTGTGGTGCTGTTTTGACCCTTTTCATAGGCGTTACCACAACACGGTGTTTTATGACGAGAGATGTGTTTCCATGGAAACGGCATATGGTGAGATCTCAGATTTGACGTAGAGCTGTTGAGGCACGGACAGGTGATATACAGGTGAAGATTGGGGGGCGATCGGACCGTGTCCATTGGAGTTACAGCCACATTCCATGGAAACGGCATATGATGACACCCCATCATTGACGTGGAGCTGTTGAGGGCAGGTCCATTAACCATTATCTGAAGTCTGCCAGACTTCAGATAATGGTTAATGGACCTGCCCTCAACAGCTCCACGTCAATGATGGGGTGTCATCATATGCCGTTTCCATGGAATGTGGCTGTAACTCCNTGCCTCTTGAGGGCATGAAGTGACAAAAACTTTCAACATGTCTCCATTAAACTCCATTGTAAATTCAGCCTCAAAAAGTACACTTCAGATGCTCAAGATCCTTGACATGCTTCACGCTTTGAAATTTCACCGATATGTGTTACGGTTCTTCAACAAAACGTTCACATGTAACAGGTTTATCTCTCATTCAGAACAATGAAAATGCTTTCCTCTCACTAATCACCTATAAACACCTGTGTCATGGAACACAATGTCATAACTCCAATTTACATAATTAGAGCAGCAGACTAATGAGTGGTCACTGGAGTTTAACAGACTGTCTCAGCCTATTCTTTTCCATCTGATGGAGACTTCATACTGACTTCAACATGTTCCACATATTTTAGACATTATTGGTGACGTATGCTTTTAGTTCTAACGTTTTCAGTTCAAATATTCTGCTGCTTTTTCATGCATTTAGACTTTTATTTTCTTGTTCTTATTTCACATTCAAGTCCCCTCTATTCATGAACCCTTTAAAGTACTCAGCCACACCACTTACAGTGGGGCAAAAAAGTATTTAGTCAGC